AGTTCAACAGCGAGGAGGGAGCGGAGAACAGGGTCCCGGAGGAGGAGGAGGGCGCGGCGGTGTTGCCCCTGCCCGTTCCTCTGTGCCAGGAGGAGGAGGAAGACGAGACCGCTCCGGTGCTGGCGGCCTCCAAGGAACGCTTCCCTGGACAATCTGTGTATCACATCAAGTGGATCCAGTGGAAGGAAGAGAACACACCCATCATCACCCAGAACGAGAACGGACCCTGCCCTTTGCTGGCCATCCTCAATGTTTTGCTTCTGGCCTGGAAGGTACACTCTGCAGCTTTCTACTTCCTATGGCTTTTGGGGAAGGGGAGAAACGGGGTGAGGGAGCTGCTGCACATCATCTGATGGCTTCCTCCTTTCTCCATTCCCCAGTCCTCTTTTCTTCTCACATGAGATTCATTCCAGGACTTCAGTGTTGAAAAAACTCTGTATGTGTGCGCGCGCGCGTGTGTGTGTGTAGAACGCTGTGTGTGTGCGCGCGCGCGTGTGTGTGTCCGTTCCCAACCTCAGTCACTCTTGTAGTATTTAAATAACATTCAGTTGTGGTTGACATACTTAAAAAACGTAGAGCATCCTAAACCTTAGGAATATTTTTAAGCTCTACTTTCCTGTGTTATTCCTTCTTATTGACTTTATCACGTATGCAGAAGAGTGAAGAATTGGACAAAGTGATTCCCAGAAGTTACCATCAATTCATGATATAGAGTAAGTTTAGTCTATTTTCTAACTAATGCTTGCCCCATTTGGGTGTGGATACTTCAGGGAATGGTAGTTGGGAAGATGTGGCCCTTTGGACAAATTCCATTTAAGGAGAAGCATTGGTCTGAGACTCAATTACCCTAAAGTGTTAGTTTTCAGAAAAGACTTTGTTTTCATTTTATGCATGGTTTATTTGCCTCATTTTTTTGGCTCTTTATGAATGCTTTGGCATTATACAAGAAACCATGTATCAGGATGTGTCAAGGGAGCTGAAACTGTAACAACTGAAATACTAAAGGCATACCAAACAAAAAGGGGTGGAAAAGGGCCCTGCAAAGTAAGTATTTTAAGGACTCAGAGTGAGTTACCTGTAAATACAGTGTCTTTTAATTTAAGCTTACAGTTTTAGGATGCTGAGAAGATGCAGTTTATGGCACTTATTTTATTGTCAAATTGATTTTATAGATAGATAGATAGATAGATAGATAGATAAAATATTCCCTCACACACAAAAAAAAGATTATTCTGACTAGTTAGGAAGAAAATCAAGTGAGTAGCATTTATTACATATCTTCATTTTTTTTTTATTATTGCAATGGCTGATATAAAAGAAACAAGATTAAAAACCTTGCCATTATCTGGTGCCTAAATGATACTCTGATGTTTTGAGCAAAGACAATGCCTCTCTCCTAGAGCTGTCAAGCTGTTTGGTGTTGCAGTGTTGATTTACTATAAAAGAGCAATAAATACTAGGTTATATAAAACAAGTTGAAATGCTCTAGATATCCAAAAAGGGGAAATTTTCCTTTGGTGTGACCATAGTCCCAGAGAGCTTCATGGAATTCGTGAATCTATAACCAAGCTTTTAAACAAGAGAATTTAGAATAACAGGGAAATGGGATTCCTGGGGGAGGAAAGAGTATAAACAAAAGAAATGAAAATAGACTGGATATTGTGTATGCTTATTAGATGGCTGGAGTGGCAAGTTCATATTGGAGAATGATAAAAAATAAGATGGAAAAGGTGAAGAAGAGGTATTTGATAGAGGCCCTTGACTAGAAATTAGATTTGGTCCGATGGACCACAGTTCTCAGTGGATTTGTGTGTGTGTGTGTGTGTGTGTGGCGGGGGGGGGGGGGGACCTGAAATGATAAACAGTATTTTTTTGGATAATTATTAGGCTATTTGGGCTTTTCTCTCTTCTCAGTTCCTGTATAGTACTTTTGAAGTTCACAGGATGGGGCAGGTACTGTGGTCTGGAGTGGGGATCCATAATCATTAAACTGACTCTTTGAAAGGCAGATTCAGGGTCAGTAGGTGGTATGGTTAGGGCACCAGATTCCCATATGTCTGACCATGGTTCGAATTCTGGACATGGCATCTTGCTTTCTCTCTCTCTCTGGTGAGCATGTGTGCCTATAGCAAATTATAAAATAATAATGAAATAAAAATAATTCTTAAAAAAAGAGACTGATTCAAGTGATCAAGTGTTTTGTTTCTCACTACTTGTGGAGCACTAGAAATACAAAGATGAGTGAGGTGCAGATCTGTTTTTTTGTAGTTTACTATCTAGTGGGGAGGCAGACAGATAAATAACAGTGCAGTGAAAGATGCTTCAAGGTAATATGGAAGGACAGTTGTCCCTTGCTACTGGGGGCAGTTGGTTCCAGGATGGCCCCTTGAAGGTACTAAAATATAAGGTTGCTTGTATTTGTATATAGATGCACATCTTCCCGTATCATTAACCATCTCTAGATTATTTATGCCTAATATTGTATAAATGCCATGTAGTTGTAATACTACAGGGGAAAAAAGCCTGTATATGTTCAGTACAGACAAGTTTTTTGGGGGGAGGGATAGGTATTTCCCAGTCATTGGTTGAATCCCCAGATGCAGACTCCATGGATATAGGGGACTGATTGTACAGAGAAAAGGGTAACTGGAGATGGGATGTGTCAAGGAAAGGCTTCATGGAAGAGATAACCCACAAACTGGGTCTGAAGAATGAATGTGAGAAGACCTTCTGGACAAAGGAATAGTGTATTCAGAGTTGCTGAAGCAGGTTAGAGGTTGTTCTATTTAAGACTTTCCATCATGGTTGAGTAGAGTAGAAGAGGGGAAGGAAATGGCAGCAGCAGGAAACAAAATTGATAGACTGGGTCAGTCACTGTGAATGACCAAGCATGCTAGTGAATTTGGATATTCTTTTGTAAATCTGTGATTATCGACCTTCTTTCTGTCTCCAGCTAGTGAGGCACACAAATATCCTAAAATCCGTAATCATTAATGATCATTAGGGAGATGAACAAGAGAAGCAAGGTAGATTGATATTCTCAAAGCGAGTCAAGGGTGCTAGAGGTCAAAACTATTTTCATAACAAATACTAAGATGTTATTTGTCCTTTTGTCTCTCATTCTCTCACAAGTATCAGTGAAGTTTTCCAGGCTATGACGACACTGACAAATAATGGAATGTGTGCCTGTGTCTTGTGTTTCAGAGTTTTCTCAATTTTAATTTCCAGTAAGGTAAATATCCGATATATTGTAATTCACACAGACAAAAGCTCTTTGGGGGCCCTAGTAATTTTTAAGACTGTAATGGGCTGGCTCCATGGCATGGTGGTAAGGTACTGCTCAGAAAAAGCCAGATTCCACATGGTGACTGGTTCAAAGCCTTGGTCCTGTCAGCCTAAAACATGCCAGGCATACACATGAGTGACCAAATCCAGTTAGCTGGAGGGGAGAGGAAGGGGATCTTCACCCTGCACAAGGTGCTCTCTCTCTCTCTTTCTCACACATGTGTGCATATGCACAAGCTCCATGATGAATAAAGAAAAATTTTAAGGAATTATTTAGTTTGTTTGTTATTCTTATTCTTATTTGATTTGACCAGAGAGAGACACACAGAGAGAGAAAGGGAAGGTGAGAAAGCAAGCCATCAGGTCTGGGACTCAAACCGCAATTGGGCATGTGGGAGTCCAGTGCCTTAACCACTGCACTTCCTGCCAGCCCCAAGAAAAAAGTTTTTAAAGAAGAATAAAGAGGGGCTAGCAGGTAGCATGGTGGTTAAGGCACTGAACTCCCATATGACCAACTATGGTTCAAGTCTCAGACCTGGTGGCCTGCTTTCTCATTTTCTCTCTGTTTCTTTCTGGTGAGTGCATGTGCCCTGTGGAAACTTAAAAATAATAACAATAATAATGATGATAAGTAAAATTCAATATTTTTTTAAAAAAAGAAAGGACACAGAACAAAAGTGAAAAATGCTGTAGTAGAGAAGAACAGTAAATAATATGTAAAGGTACTTGTCAGTTTTTAGAAGATCCATCACTAGGGTTGCTTAGACTTTATGTATAACTGATAATACAGCTATTATAATTTGCTAGGCATAGGAATGACCTGGTGAAAGTGGTCTTTTAGTTTGACATTAGGCGAGATAAGATCATAGTGAATGAAGCAAGAAGTTGATGAAAATAGCTCTTTTGGGTAGGGAGTTCTTTGCTCTCTCTCTTTGATAAGATTCAATGATTCAATGATGAGTTCATCATTAATTGAATATGACAAATAAAGCAAATGGAACCATTTTTTTCGAGTCTAGGTAATAGAGATTGATTGGCTCTTTCAAAAGATAGGGAAGATCTGAAGGGCACATTTTATTTATTTATTTATTTATTTTGAGAGATTTTTGCTCTTAGGACATGTGTGCTCACTGGGGAGACAGAAGACAAGAAGTGAGAAATCACCTTCCCACACACAGGGAGCGACTACGCTATAATCCCTTTTCTTCCATTCTCCTTTTGGGATTTTGGGTTACACGCACAGGTGTCTGATGTGAGTTTTGAGTCACCTGGTCTGGGACTTAAACTGCAGTAGACCACATGGGTGTCCAGTGACTTAACCACCATCCCACCTGCTGATCCAAGAGAACATTTTAAATGGGTATATTGATGCCAAAGTTTGGCGATATCAATTTGGAAATGTCTGATAGTGGGTTATAAACATATTTTGGGTCATCAGGGAAGTCCTGACACATTTTTGCATAGAACTTGGACATCATGACTTTCCTGATGACCTAATAGATGTTTATTCCACTAGAAACATGAACTTAGTGTCAGGGAAGAGATAAAAATTAAAGAGAAAAATTAAATTGGAAAATTATTGCATAGATGTGAGTACGATAGCTACAAGAATAAGTAAATTCTCCATAGAGAGTGGTGAGTAATATTTCTCAACTTTTTTCCATCCCAACTTATGTGAGGAATTAGAAATTGCAGAAATATGGGGCTGCCAGGTGGCTTGGTGGTTAAGGGCACTGGATTCTGACATGGCCGACCGTGGTTCGAGTCCTGGACCTGGTGGCTTGCTTTCTCCCTTTCTCTCTCTCTCTCTGTCCTTCTCTGGTCAAATTAAAATAAATAAATAAAGCTAAAATATATTTTAAAAAGAAATTGCAGAAACATCCTCCCTATGTCGCCTCTATTTCCCCACTTTCTCCTCCACCCTGTTCTCACGGGACAGACAAACAGGAAGAAAGATTAAAATGAGAGCAACAGGAAAATGGAAGGA